TTTTTCAAATGTTTGCCCTCCTGCACTTTTACTTTGGCTCCTTCCAGGAAGGGGCTGCACTGCAGTCAGTTCTGGCTGCAGAGTCACATCTCCCCCTGGAAAGGAGACGCTGAGCCACCAAGAAAGGATAGGGATGGCCCTCCAAGGCTCCCAAATCCCTTTGAAATAAGTGGAGTTCAACTACCCTGGAAATGAGGTGCAGCAGCTCTGGTCACCCTTGTCCATTTGTGTGAAAATCCCCATTTAACCCCAACAGGGCACCCAATGACTTTTTTTTTCTGCCAGCGAGCAATGCATCCCCTTGCATTTACTTTTTTCCCCAGGGTAATGCCAATCCACCCAACCCCCTGAAAAGAAGCCCAGCTTGCAAATCTCTTCTGAGTCTGTCCGAACATCTGTTTTTAACTTGGAAGCGGAAAGGCAGGGGCGGATCGGTCACCCATTCATCGAATGTTTGCCATCTGCACAATGCTATCTTCTGTAAACACAGCAGCTAATGAACATGCTGCAATAACCAGCCCAGTTTCTGCAGCTAGAAATCACAGCAGGATTAATCTGGAGAAGAAAGCCCTCTGCACACAGAGTTTACGTGTGCTTCATGCTGCGTTTGGACACGGGGCTCGAGTCTCCTTCCAGCCCCATGTTTCCCTGCCCAGTAACTGCTAAAGTCAGTCGAGCTGCACCAGTATAAGGGCGGGCGGTGCCGAGCCAAGCGCTTCAGGTTGTGAGAGCAGCAACGTGACGTGGGGGAATATTTTGCCGTTCCCTTTCCCAGGGTGAAACTATCATGGCTCAGCCTGGGGCCATGAGTTTCACGCCCTGGTGCCCTCCCAGCTTTGCTCCCTGCTCCATTACAGTGGGGTTTGCCTGCCGACGGTGTCAGGAGGGTCTTTTCCTCCATGAGTTTGACTTTCCTGGGCTGAGGGGATGTAGGGGAGCAGTGTAGAGTCACAGCTCAGGAAGTCCTCCCTGTTTCCCACACAGCTTCAGACAGCCCCCGGCTGCTCCCAGCCACCTCTCACTGCCCGCATCCATCGTGCATTGTTCATCGCTCCGCTCCTGTCCCCTCTCTTCAGTTTCTCTCTCTGTCTCTGGCAACAAGTGAGTATTTGCCTTTTTCTGCTCTGTGGCTCAACTTTCCAGGCTTGCCTCTCCGGGAAATGGCTCTGTCCGCGGAAGGGAGGAACGGGGCTGGGGGACAGGCAGAGACTTGTCCCACTCGAGCTCCCTTTGCAGATGAGCTCAGGCACGAAAAATTTCCAAGGCTCTGCTGTGTTAGGTAGCGGCTCCTCTGCAGATGAGGTCCAACCCCTGCTTTGCTCTCCTGCCTGTTGTTTACTGGCAGGACTTTTAGCAAAGCAGGGCTGATGGCAGCAAGCACAGCTGACTTCAACAAAGATCCTGCATGAGGGCTTTCTCCTGCAGCCGCCTGAGCAAGCCACTGCTGCTTGGCATGAATCCCAGGACATCACATTTTGGCTAGACGAGAAGCTGAGAAAGGGAGGGAGGTGATGGCTGCTTTTGGGAAGGGTCCGGAGAAGGTGGGGATGCTGCTTGAGCAGGTCATGAGCAGAGTCTGGGACTCCTGACACCTCTCTGCTTCATGGTAAGGCATCTCCCGAAGTTTGCAGGCTCCTGGGTCGGCAGGGGAGCAGAAGGATGCTGGCACCTGGAGCACCCTTAGACTTTGCAGGGAGTGAAGAAGCCTTGAGGAGTTCAGGAAGGTGAGGAGGGCCTCAGGGTGGCAGTGGTGAAGGGTGGAGGAGAAGGAAATGAAGACAGGTTTCCCTGCCAAAGGCTGAGGATTGCAGAGGAAAGGACTGTGCAACAGCCTGACCCAGCAACTGTGAGCTGGGACAGCTAACACACCGTCTGCCAGCCTGGAAAATGAAAGTCTGATCATGCTTTCTGAGACCTGGCTCTACCAGCACTTTGGCAGAGCTGGTTTTTGCACAGTGGAGTGGAAACAGTGCTGGTGACCACCTTCAGCTCTGTGCTCTGCTGGGTGGTGCTAGCTGCTACCTCTGCGATGGATTTGCACCCCTCGAGGCCGATGTCCTCATCACCCAGTGGGCAAAATCTCAGTCCTAGTGAAGGAATACCACCATTTCCCTTGTAGATGATAAAGATGGCTTTTGCCAGCAGCTCCCATTGCATCAGCTGATGTTGCATTACATTGCAGCATGGAAGTCAAAATACTTTCACTGCTTTACACCAGCTGAGGACCCCTCCTAGGCAAATGCAAGTAAGAACTGAAGAGAAGAAATAAATCTTCAGAGCTGGGTTCCCTGGTTGCCTAATGTGGTGGTTTTACTGTACCAACATCCCGCTGAAGCCATGGTTGCACTGTCTGAGACCTTATCTATAGCTTTTGTAAGAAATGGAGGGGAAAACCCAGCAGACTCCAGTACCCACAAGCATGCCTGAAGCAGGCGATGGGGCAATCGCAGCCATGCTGCTAAACAGCAGGTCAGCATTGATGGCCAGGTGAAACACGGCTGGCTTTGTTGCCTGAAGACCTTGTTAATATTAACGACATTGTGCAACACAGCCTACCCCTGGGGTATGCAGTAGATCATTAGAGGATTTTTAATTAGTGGTCCCTGCAAAGCCCTCGTCTTTAGCAGTGGTTAATTCATGCAACAAAACTTTGCCTGTGGGGACTATGAACCATTACCCTACAGGTCTATGTAACACGCAGCTGTGAGTCAGGGCTATATTTACACCTGTATATACACATATGTACATATATGTATGTATGCATGTATCTATATATGTAAACTTCACTTTGTCTGATGCAATGAATTGGGTTGTTTGACACTGCAGTGCTGCTAACAGTATATGTATCACAGCATTAACAATAATGATCTTTGCTGGCCATATAAGCCTGGAAGGGAAGGGGCTTGCTGATCTGGTGTTTTTACATAGGCACCAAAAAAAATTAAAAAAATGAGCAACCTAGAAGAAAACTACGGTTAACAACGTCACACTGATCCACAGCCGTTCCCAGAGACTTTCATGCCTTGTCTGCACCAGTGTGTGACCTCTTCCTAGGTTAGCTGCAGCCCTGAATCAAGGCTTTCCCGTCTCCTGCCATATGGAGGCAGTGGAGTGAGAGAGAGAAGGGTGAGAAAGAAGAAAGGGTCAGGTAAAACTGGTGTAGAGCTAAAAAGTGCTTAAAAGAGCCATTCAGGTCAACCCAGACTGGTTCAGAGCAGTTGTTGACCTCTAGTATTTACATGCAACAGGGAGAGGCCCAGGTGGGAGTTGGGACTACAGGCAAAAAGGTATTTAGGTGCCTGACAAGCTGACTAAGCAGGCTAGAGAAAGGCAGAGATAGACATGTGAAGGGGCTTATACAGGGCAGGAGGAGACTCTCTGACTCTGAGAGCAAGAGAGGGCTTTGGAGTTTGCAATAGATTTGAATGCTGCTGAGCTGGATGCAGAGCAAACCAGCCTTGCAAGGACACAAGAAGCACCATGCAGATGAAGCAACTCTGGCAGTGAAGGTAACAGAGACCCTGGGCTAGGTGTGGAAGAACAGTCCCAGTGGATGGAAAATGCTAACCAGCTTGCAGACGTCACTGGCTGCAGTATCAGCATTGACTGGCTCCACCCTGTGCAACCTCATATAACTCCTGGGAAACCCTGTGATTGCTGTAGCATAAAAAAAAAGATAAGAACAGGATCATGTTATCCCAGGACATGTGCAGGCACCACGAAAAGTGTCTCTGCTAGGCTCTCAGTTGGAAAACCCTGCATACAGGGCTGGCTCAGCCTGGCAGCCCCTTGCCCTCGCTCTGCCCTGCTCATGCCACCATCACCCGGTGTGCTTGGTGGGACTGAGCCTTGGAGAAATGCAAGTGGGGCCTTGGAGCCTCCCACTTGCAAACAACATTTTGGGGATGGAAATTAGGGCAAAAAAGCTGATTTTGGCACTCTTTCTGCTGCAAAGAGGCAGTGATAACCATTGCCCCCTCTTCCTCTGAGTTAGCAGAGGAGAACCTAGGAAAGCTTGGCTTTCTTGCACCATGCATGTAGTTAATCAGTGTCTCCCTGGGTTTCCTGACCCTGTTTGGCCTCGTGTGGTGAGCACAGAAGTAGCTGCAGGCAGTGGGCAGGAGGCACAGGCGTGTGCAGGGCAGCGGGCTGGCTGGGCCTCCTGTTACCACTGTACACAGCACACCCAGCAACACGCCAACACCGCTCTGGCTGCTCTGCTCCGCGTCCTGGGGTGCTCAGCCTGTGTGGGGAGTCGCATCTGCATCCAAAACTATGGTAAGTGGCCTTTCAGCAAAGAGCATTTTTAAAAAGTGAAGTATCTTAGAAGTGGCAGGTGGGTATAGCAAAAGGAAAATTGTAATGTGGGGCAGCAGCAAATCCCTAGCTAGAGACTAAGAACAATATAGGTCTTTCACAGATTTAAAACTATGTATTTTAACTATCTTTGTTTAATTATTGTTTAGGACACAGTTAGGAAAATGAGCAAACACTGCTTCTGGAAGTGATCTAGGTTTAGGTCAGAGCAGGGCACCACGGAAGGCAGCAGACTGTTGTGGTATTAAAGTGTGTCCAGTGTTTAGTGTGTACTGTTTTCAAAACAGGCTAATTCTGTTTCCCTAAAACAGGTACACTCAGGAGGGATTTGTAAGTTCATTCAAAATGAGTGATTGTAGAGAGTTCCAATGCGATACTTTTAGAAATCTCCCTTACCAGGAGCAGATGGTGAACAAACTGGCAGAATTTTTTTTGCAGGATTTGGCAAAGCAGTAGATAGCAGTTCTGGATGGGGAAGGAAAAGGAAGGGGTCTTTTTGTTTGCTTCCACATAAGAAGCTCTGACCCACTCCCTGATGCCTGCAGTGTGTGCAGGCTGGTGGGGGCTGCAGTGGAGTCAGAGGATGGCTGCAGGATGAGCCCTAACACATTCCTTTTGCCTTCCAGCACTTTTCTGCAGACTTTTACCACACACTGCACCAGCCAATGCCCAGGGCTCCGGGGATGCCAGGGGCATCCCCAGGACTCACCATCCCAGTGGACGTCCCCCCCTTCCACTTCCAGCCCCGCCGGGTCAGCGTGGACTGGCGTCACTTAAGTGCCATCGATGTGGACCGGGTGGCCCGGGAGGTGGACGTGGCTGCGCTCCAGGAGCACATCGCCGGTGTCACCTTCTGCAACCTGGATGGGGAGCAGTGCCCCCACTGCAGGCAGCCGGCAGACCCCGTCCTGCTGAAGGTGCTTAGGATGGCCCAGCTGAGCATCGAGTACCTGCTGCACTGCCAGGAGTGCCTGGGGACCAGCCTGGCCATGCACGCCCAGTGCCTGCAAGTTGCCCATGCCAAGCTGGCTTGCACTCAGCAGCAGGCTGCAGAACAGGCGACCCAGCTCCGGGGCGCAAAGGAGGAAAGCAGGAGGTGGAAGAAGCTGATTGCCATGCAGCAGCTCCTCCTGCAAGCTGGCCCCAACACCTGCTGCAAGGTGCGTGGTGGAAAGGTGTAAGGGGTGTAAAGCGCATCCCCGTGCAGGATGCTCTTTGCTGGATCCTGCCTTTGTAGCCCGTCGTTATACCTTGGGCCCAGAAAATATGCTGGCCAGCCCTGCTGCTTTCCCTGGCACTGGTTTGTCACCTTCATGGATATGGCAAAGTCCTTGCCAGCCCAGAGGGAAGCTCCTTTTTTTGGGGAGGTGCCAACTGCAGGTAGTCAGAGCTGCACGGAATGTGGGAGAGGGTGCTGTAGAGGGCTGTCAGAGGAGATCTCATGAGATTCCTGTGTCCAGGGGGATATCTCGTGCCAGGGAGACTTTAAGCATCCTCCAGACCAGTGAAAGATTTCTGGAGCCTCCTGGATCTGGTGGTGATTTCCGCCCCCCCCCCCGAGGTTTTTCCCACCCTTTCAGCAGGAAGCCTGCTGGCTGTGCCTTTTTCCCTGCTTCTTCCCCATTGCCAAATCAACCCTCTGGCATACTCCTGGAGAATGAAAGCCACCCAGACCAGATGATTTGGGTTCATACAGCTCAGTCATCACTGCAAGCGCAGCTCTCCTTTCCTCCACAGCCAGACCAGGACCTCACTGATGCTTTCGCCACCTTACTGCACTGCTTTGTTGGGGAAAGCAGAATTTTTTTTCCCCAAGCGGCATCCCTGCACCATCTTGGCTTCTGCCTTCTCCTTACCTCTAAAGGGGTTTTCCTTTGGCTTCAGACAGAAGAAACTCCTAATACCCTCCATCTACATACCTCCAACACAACACCTACATCTCTTGAGGTCTCCCCTTTTGCTCTGAAGCAGCAAAACTTTGTCTGCCTTGCAGGGGACATGGGGAGTGCCCCTTTCTGGAGATCCCAGTCCCTCTGCTGACTTTTCCTCCCTCTCCAGTGCCACCTCTGCGATAAAGCCTTCATGAAGGACACCTTCTTGCAAGCCCACGTGCAGCGCCGGCACGCGGAGGCCACTGAGGCGGGTGAGCACTGGGATAGTTTCTTCCTTTGCTTTCCTAGACAGGTTTTTCTCCCATTGGATGTAGATGCTGGAAACCAGAATGACCATAGGAGGTTAAAACCAACTTCTTGTAACTTCTTTCTTCTTCTGCATTTCTGTGAATATTGACTGAATGCTTTCTGCTTGCTGCCTTTCCCTCAAGCACAGGTAGGACATGCAGTCGAATACAAGACCGCATATGCATTTACAGCTTGTCTCTGTGCCTCAGTTCCCCTAAGAATCTTCTCCATCCAAAGATTCCATGGGACCTTGGGGATGGAGCTACACTGGGGAGTTTGGGAGGGTGTTTTGCTAGAGTGGGAGAGGGGTTCACCTTTTCCATGCCTCTTTTTTGGCAAGGAATTGATGCTCCTTTGCAAAATGCTTTGAAAGCTGCAGGTGTAACATGCTGTGTCAGAGCTGTGGAGCCTCGTTACAGCTTCACCTACACTGTGCACTTGAATCTGGCAGGTAAAAAAGCTGCTTTTGTTGTTTGCCAGCGGGTGGAAACCCCAGCCCGGGGCTGATGCAATGCAACAGTTTGAGCTTTGCTCCAGAGACACCTTGCCTGGTGCAGCCTGAAATGTCCAAGCAGGGCACTTTGGCTCCTGGAGAGAGCAAGCCCAGTGCAAAGCCACTCTGCTCCACAAGCCACTAATCTCTCCAAGTTTACAAAAATAAAAAATAAAAGAATAAAAAAAAAATCAGGGGCCACATGGCCACCTTTGTCATGGTTTTTCCTGCAGCTCAGCTACCTGCTTCTCCGCCCTGAAACCCTACAGAGTTTTTGCTCGATGCTTTAGTAGGATTCTCCACCCCGCCCAAATTAAAATCCTGGTAGGAGCTGGCAGATCGCTCCCTTGCTCACAGTGCCTCTGTTTCCCTGAGCTTTGCAGAGAGGCAGAAGATGAAGCAGGTGGAGCAAATGGAGGCAGAGGTGGAGGAGCTGAAGGCGAAACTGCAGGAGACACAGCAGCAGCTGAAAGCGGAGAGGGAAGCGGAGAAGCTGCACAGGGAGCAGGTACAGGAGGAGGGCACTGCTGCCCTTTTGGAAAAAATGGGGGAGGAGAAGTGATGAAACACAGGGTGTTTTTAAAGCACAGGTGAAAAAGGCACTGAAAAATATTTTATGGTGGGTCTTGTGTTTATTTCTTTGGAAACTTTGCCCCAGAAAATTCCCATGGGAAATGTCATGTGGAAATAAGGACTGTGTAAGTGTGCCTGCCCAGGCGGGTGTGCTGCCTTGACATCCCCATGGTGCGCAGGCAGGCTCTGAGCAGCAATGGGTGTAATGAGAGTGTTGGTGCTCATCCCACTGGTGCCAGGGCAGAAGCCTTCGTTCTTCTGCTCTGCAGCCAAGACATCTCCTGCCCCGATTTTTCCATTCCCTTTAGGAAATGGAGAGAGCTCGCCAGCGAGAAGAGGAGGGTAGGAGAGATTTGGAAAGGTGGAAAGAGGAGGAGAGGATGAAGCTGCATGAAAAGATAGATGGCCTGAGGCAGCTCTTCCTTGCAGCGTTCAAGGATGTGTCCAGCAGGACCATTGCCATGGAGGGGGTGAGCAAGCACCCAGCATGCTCCTCAAAGCAGGCGAGGGGACATCCAAGCCTGCTGCTTCACCTGGTCCAGGTGGCGTCACAGGTTCACAGCCCAAAGAGGCCTTATTTCTTTGCTCCTGGGGCATGCAAACTTTTTGGGGTTGGCAGAAGTGGCTGGCCAAGGTTGGGCTCCCCAGGAGGAAAGCGGAGCCTCCTGTGGGACACACAGCTCCTTCCTCTCCCCACTGCAGATACTGCAGGAGCTTCAGGCCAGAAAGGCGATGATGTCCAACCTGGGCACCCTGCGGGACGATGACACCAAGGAGGCACAGTGGCAGGCACCAAGCCGGGCAGAGCTGTGGGGTGAGCGGGAGAGGATGGCAGTGCAGGTGAGCATTGTGGTAGCCATGTCCTTACTCCTACTGTGCATCCCAAGAGGTGCATTTGGATGGACATGGACCCAGATCCATGCATCTCTGTGTGCATCTGCTTTGTGGATGTCTGATCTCAGCTCAGGTTCAGGTAGCAATGGGCTCCTGCTGGTATAGAGCACTGACAGTCTGAGTCCAGAAGTGGGACCTGGAGGGTGCAGAGGGCATGTCACAGTCCCAGGTCAGCCCTGCTTGCTGCAGGGAAACCCATCTTCACCGGAGCACTGCATAAGGTCACCATATGGAAAAACACTTAACTAAACAAAAGTTATTTACCTGTGCATCAGCCTCCTTCTCAACATCTAAAAACATCTGAAGAAGGCTTTACCATGCATGGTACCTCTGAGCATGGAGTGAGTTGGGAACGGCACTGCCGTTACAGTGCCATCTGTCCTTTGGGACCCAAAGGGAAGCTGAATTTCTCTGAGCACAGATGCAATCAGGTGCCCATGCCCACAAGAAGCCCCCAACCTGCAAACTGAGGAGGGCAATGCCTGTGTGTTTAATATGGCAGAGGGCAGAGCAGAGGCAGGTGCTGAAGGACCTGTGGAGGGAGAACTGGGCACAGGAGGTCCAGGTAGGTGCCAGATGTCCTTGGCAGCTCCCAGGCACCTTGCTCAGAAAAGGCCTTGTTTCCTTTATGGTTCAAAGCCCAGAGATGTTAGGTCTCTTCAGAAGAACCAGGGATGACCTCTCTGTCCAGCAAGTGGTAGGTGGAAGGAGCAGGGCTACACTTTAAATGAGCTGTGGCTGGATTTCAAAGCCCAGGGCAACAGAGTATAGCTATTATATTATCAAGGGGAAAAAATAAAGGAAATGCAGTGACCAAAGCTGTGTCCTACCACAGCCTATGAGAAGACATGAGCTTGCCGCCAGCATACTTTGATGCTGGCCGTACATCTTCTGCAAGGCCAGATCTGCCCTTTGGAGGATGTGTCAATGATGAATAAAAATCCAGAGAGCTGCCCTTGCTGGTGAAGGGAAGAGGTGGCACAAAACCCATTTTTACCATGTTCAAGTCGTCTTGTTCCTTTTTTTCCCCTTTCAGTTGAAGAAAGACAACAAGACACTCCGTACCACCCCATCCCAGGACCAGGGGGCAGTTATGGACCGTGCCCCTCAGCAGATGGATGCCCTCAGCACCCGTCTTGGGGAGCAGCCCAAGGTCACAAACTGCCAGGAGAAGGCGGCAAGTGAAATAAAAAAGAAAAGAGGCCTCGGTTCATCAAGAGGGTTTAAGCAGATGTTTAACTCTAAGCAGCCTTAAAATTTGTGCTGAGTTAAGACTAAGCCTAATTTCAAGCCCATTCTATAATGCTTTGCTACATTCAGCTCTTTATTTGCACTCATTAAACAAGAAGCATTACATGAATATTGTTGGCATGAACCATGCCCACTGGGGTGTAGATCACCAGAGCAACACTTTGCATTACAATTTGGAGCATCTTTTACTTGTTGCCTAGATCCATGAATAGCATGTGGGGTATAACAGGATGTCATCCGATGTGCTAGTGATCATGTTATGGAAAGGAAAGCCCCTAAGCTGACCCCTTACAGGTATGGTCTGCATAAGGGAAATAGCTCTTGCAGAGTGTATGTGCCCACTTTAGGCTCTTGCTATTTTCTGCTCCTTTTTTGAATGCATTTAATAATAACACTCTGCAGAGAGAGGAAAATTTACCCAAAATTACAGACAAAGAAATGATCTTTGAATGATGCCCAGTCTATTTCTTTACAGATCAAGCTGCTCTCTACAAGCAAACCTGAAGGTAGTGATTGCATTTTTAAAGTGAATCAGTTTGGGTCTAGATAAATTTTTCATAGCTAAAAGCCCTTCAGACCACAATGTCTTCTCCGTGTCCCTCTACAAAAGTGTGCCATGGAGTCCTCTCCAGGGAGCTGGCTATATGTCCTCTCACACGAGGCCGTGGAGTGGACACCTTGCAGTCCCTTACTATCTGCTGCAACAGCTCTGGTAGCTGGCACAAAACTAACTTGTCTCTTGGGTGGGTTTTGCATTGTAGCCATACCCCAAAGGAATGAGATTTCAATCAGCAAATGGATGAACTTGCGTCCTCCAAAATGATGCCAGTGGTTATTTGCATAAAAATAAGGAGCTAAGGCACACTGTGGTTTCTTCTTTACAGTCTGGGTTTTCTATAATCAGGTGCCAGGGAAAGAAAGTGGGGGTTTCTCAGCTCCCTAATGCCTGCAGCACAGCCGCAGACCCAGCCAGGTGCTGCTGTTCAGAAAACAAAAAAGGCCATAAAACAGGGATGGCTATTAGCAAATACCCAAGGGGTACATTGTTGACCCCAGCCCTGAGGGGCAGCAGATGTTTTCCCACTGACACCCTCCAGCTGGTGGCCTTGGCGGGCAAGCGCCCCGGGGTTTCCCTTGGGGATGTTCTCCAAGGGCTGGTGCCAGAGCTGGGCCAGCCTTGGATCCCCAGAGGGACCGGTGTGTCCATTTCCATACTTTCCATATAGGGAAACCCGGTGGTGATCAGCACTTGCTTTTGCACTGGGGCCTCATCTCCTCTTTGACCCTCACAGGCTCTTTCTTCCCTGCAGTGACCCGGGAGGTGACCAAAGTGGTGGCTGATGAAGAGTCATCAGGTAGGTACCGGTGTTGGGAGCATCCCTGTCCCGAGAGCACCAGGATGAAGCTGGCGTTTGGCTTGGGGTGTTGTGTGGTGAGGACGAGGGGGTGCTGGGCAAAGCTGGCAGTTGATGAGGTGGTAGGCTGGGGGCAGAGGGGCTGAGCTCGCTGGCCCCACTCGGCTGTGCAGAGCGTGACAGCACCATGACCAGCCCTGCTGCCAACCCTTCACCCAGGAAAGCTGTCCCAGGCAGCTGCTGGTCTGTGGGTGGGATTTTGGAGTAGTTGTGGGCAGGAGATAATCAAATCAGAGGAAGTTGCCCCTTCATAGAGGGATGTAGTCTGCTGAGAGCAACCAGTTGCTTGCTCTGGGACTGGTGGGACCCATGTCCTCAAAGAGGAGAAGGGTCCCACCAGCCCCCTCCCCAGGACACAGCCCATGCATCGCTGCACTGGTACCAGCACACACCTTTACTCCAGACAGGGAGGAGGCTGCCCTGGGCGGGAAGCAGAGGCTGCTGGAAGCCCTGCGGAGAAACCCAAACCTCCTGAAGCAGTTTCGCCCCATCCTGGAGGAAGTGCTGGAGAAAAAGCTGGAGAGCATGGGGGTCAAGAGGGTAAGTCTGTCCTTTCAGTGCCAGGATTTGCAATGCCAGTGCTGAGTGTGTGCAGGGACAAAAAGACTGCTCTGAACTGATTCTTTTTTGGGAGGGAGCAACCAAAACACTAACAGGCAGTGAAAAAAAAATAAAAAAAATCCCCATCTGGAGCAATCACACTCAGAGGTAAATGGGAAGGTGGAGGCAGAATCACACAGCACAGGGAATAAACTGCCATGCTCCCATCTCTGAGGGTTGTTAGTATCTCTCCAGCAAATCTTTCTCACAAGCAGCCTTTCATATGCTAAATTACCCAGGGCTCCCTTTCTTCTAGGGAAGGAGGGTGTTTGAGGGCACAGCAGCCCCTGTCACGGGGATTTCAAGGGGACTTTCACTGTCCGAGTCCTTTTCATGACAAGCATGTTAAACAGTACCTCCTCCAAGTCTTCCCGAGCTCCCGGCAATGCAACACCACCACCTAGCACCTTGCAGAGCTGGTGCAAGGGCAGTGAGCAGGCAGGCAGCCGGCATTTCTGAGCAAGGCAGCATTTCCATTTTGGGTCCTGAAAGCACAAAGAGAAAAGGAGCACTCCTGGATTCAGTTCACATAGGCTGGAGCCCTGGCATGTCCCCCCTTTTCCCGGCATGTTATTCGGGAACACTGAGGTGGTGTCAAAAGCAGTAGAGGTGCCCAAAGCTGGACCCACAGGTGTACACCCCCCTTCACCCTTCCCTTCTCATAATATTACATTGCTACAAGCCCAGGATATTCATGGTCACAAAACCTCCTCGAGCTGTAAATACCTCCCAAGAGAAAATGCTGCGCTTACCCTGTAGCCTAGAAAATGCCCCAAACAGCTGAGATTTACTCTTCAGCAGTCATTTACCAAAGCAGATGAGGGCTTTGCAAATGTGGGCTGTTTGCATGGGATACATTGTGCTGGGGAAACGATGGATGTCAGGGCTGGTGTCAGCTTCCTTGGGGTTTGGACAGGGCTTGGAGCTTGCAGGATGCTCTTGAGATATGGGTAATGCTGTCGAGGGCTTGTTTCACCAGCTGGTGCTGCGGGAGGACAATATCAGGCTCCTCAGCTGCCCTCTACTTTAGGTTGTGAAGGGAATCTCCACTCAGACCTACAAAAGCCTCGAGGCTCTGGTCAGGCTTCAGCAGCAACAGAAGGCTGAGAAATTTCCTGGTCTCCTCCACCTGAGGGACGAGTTGGTCCGAGCAGTGATGGGGAAAGTCAGGCGATGCAAGAAGCTCAGCAGTGCTTTGCCTCGACAGCTCTCTGTCATCCCAGGTGAAGTGACCCCCTGTCCTCTCTAGATACCAACTGCAGGGACCTGTGGCCACCCACTTGCAGCCACGGGATGCTGTCCCCTCTCCCAGTGGGGCAACAAGACAGAGAAGGGCAGGAAAGGGCATTTAGAGTGTTGCACGTATCTGCAAGTGCTCTCTGCATATTGACCTCACATGGGTTGGCCTGACATATTCAGGAAAAAAAAATCAGCTGTCCCCAAAAGCCCCAGCAGAGTGAAATACAAGTTTGGCAGTGCTTGCAAATCCCCTTTTCCCCTTTTTTCTACATAATCCCATGTCAGATGGGCTGTGTGGCATCCCCAAGGGCAGCCCATGGGACCACCAGGAGTGGGTGGTGATTCTCCTTGCTCTCAATATTGCCTTCCAGCTCAAAGCCGGAAGACCCCCAGGTCCCTTTGTGGGTCACAGCCCATGGCGATACCAGCTACAGCAGAGCCTGAAGCCTTGGTGATCCCCCAGCCTGCTCCTTGGAGCAGAGCGTGCTCCACCCACAGCACCCCGAGGACTCTCTGGGGCACCCTGCGGACCTCCAAAGCCGGCAGCCCCCACCAAGGACTTGTCCCATGGCGGAGGTGAGTCCCATCGCCTCTTTTCGGTCTCCAGGCAGGTGGGCAGTGCCCAAGACCCTCAGGCACAACGTGGCCCCAAGTATACTGAGTGCTGCCCAAACACCAGCACCTTTGGAAATTGCCGAGTGGTGGATATTGTGGCACCCAGAGGGGTTTGTTTAGAAAAGGAGTTTCCCGGGGTCTCCCTGCCCATATGGGCTAACTCAAACAACTCAGCAAAGTCAGACCTGAGGGCCTGTGCCCGCCATGTGGTGCTGGAGACAAATATGGGGCATTTCCCACTGGTGTTTGGCTCCCTCTTCCCCTCCCAGCACCTTTGCAAAGGGATGAAGGAGTTCTCTTGGGGGTTTGGAGCAAAAGTAGTAAAGATGTAAAACAAAAGCTTGGAGAAACTGTGCAGACCATGAAGAGAAGAAGCAAGGCAGAGGGGGTATGAAATGGCAGCAGAGAGGAAGAGGAGCTCACCTGTGACCAAGAGCAGGTGAGGAAAAGGAGTTACTTCTTTGCTCCGGGAGCAAGAGGAAGCCAGATCTAGGTTTTAAACTTGAGCAAAGCAATACCGAACACAGGCAAGGTATGGGTGTGAGTATTTGTTGGAGATGCTCGCAGCAAGGTGTTTGCAGTTGGTGGGTGTGATGGATCTGTCCCTGTCCATGGGGAATGCAGGGCTTCTCCATGGGCTGCCCTGCTCAGGGCTGGATCATGGCTCAGAGCATCACAGGGTTTCCTTGCATCTGCTTCGGGAGTGGGGAAGGGGGAGGCCACAGCAAACCCCATGCCTGACCCGTTTCTCTGTGCACCAGCTCAGAAGTGATGCTGGGGGGGAAGCAGCCCACCCTGTCCCCCGTGAGACTCAGCCCTAAGCAAGAGCCAGCTCTCCCTGCAACGGTGCTGGGGGATGAGACTGACTCCGACAGGCCAGACCAGGACTTGCTGGAGGAAACAGCTGGTTCAGGTACCGCCTGTTCGTGTAGCAACCGCTGTGGGTCAGCAAGGTGGTGGGGACAGTCCTGGTTAGCACCATCAGTGCCTCTGTGTCACCTTCTTCCTGGCGCTGAAGTGTGACAAGTCTTAACCCACCATCCCCCACATCCAGCCAGGCAATGGGGCACTGGTGGCTTTATCCATCGGCAACTTGTGTGCCCAACCCTGCCAGGGTATTTTCCTAGGGAGCAATAGATCCTGTAGCTCTTTCTTTGCGTTGGGGGAAACGAGACTGTCTAGAGGATGCAGGGAGCCCCACAGGACCCAAAGGGCTGTCAAACACAAGGAGTAAAGCTTGTTTTGACTGTTGGCTACATGCTGTAAAACCCAATGTGAACTACGTGTCGGGATGATGTGGGGACTGCCCCATGGCCCCTCAGAGAGTTGGGGGGCAGTGGGAGGCACCTCTCACCTATGCATTAACTGCAGACAGCAGCAGGTACTCCTTGCATGTGGCTGTGGTGTGTCCCAGTCCAAAAAAGAGCTGTCGGTGCTGTGTCACACATGGCTAGCCCGGGCTGCGTGTGCGGGTGGAGGTTTGGTCCAGCATCCTTGCATGCACTGGAGCGTTACCCACCCAGTGCTTGCTCGGGGCAGGGGGACAGAAACCCCCATGGTTTATCTTATGCACAAATCATTTGCTTCCTGAAACAGCTCTGTTGGAATGGGTCCAGACAGTGCTAGTGAGTTTAAGCTATTTAGAAACCAACTCACACTGGGGTGGCTGGTGGTCCCCTCCCTTCTTACCCAGCTGTGCCATCACTGTGCCTTGGGGCTCCCTGTTTAACCTGCTCTGCCCCGCACAGGGACAGCCACATCCACGATAGTGAGGTTCTTGGAGAGATGCCTGGATGCGGTGGCACAGAGCCCACCTGGCAGGGTGAAACTCTTCCCAGCTGTGAGCTTGGCATCACCCAAAACCAGCCAGCCCACCAAGAAGCTCCAGGTATCTTGTGCAAATAGCCACAGGGATATTTTCTGACATGATTTCCATTTAAAAAAACACCATGTCATACCCTCTTCTCAGCTCCTACCTATCAGCACTGCCTCAGGACACAGTCTGTGCACAGGGAGGTCAAACTTACAGCAACAGAGACTTGGCCCCTTCATCCAGTTGCAGATATCTGTCCTTCCCCTGATGTTTGTCCATTCATCCTCTTTGGGGAAAAAAAAACATCAGTATTCGTGCAATTGGGAGCAAAACAGTAAGCACCAGAGAATCAAATTGAGAAAAGGTCTCTGGAACAAATCCAGAGATAATTGGAGTGATGCAATGGCAAAATTATTAAATTACTAAAATGGGACTTAAACATAACCTCAATTTATGGGGGAGAGCTGATGTAATTAAAGCGGTGGCAGTGTCAGAATCAAATTGCTTTTTTAGAAAAAAAAATTTAAAAGATTTTACCTAAGGAAGGCCTGGTACAAATAGTGGGAAGATTTTTTTTTTTTTTTCTTATTGCAATGACAATGAAATTCTAGGCCATCTGGCGTCATCTGGCAAAGGAAAAAAAAAAAAAGCGAAAAAAAAAATTTAAGCATGAGGTTTATGGGACAACTTGCAAGCCATGGAAATAGAGGAAGGATCTCCTGTGTGGTGTCCTGATGCAACCATGTTTGGGCCCTCTTTGCTCTAATTTTTGCATCAGCCTGATGGGGAAGAAATCCCTGTTGATTTGTAGCAGGGGAGCACAAAGTGCAAATGTGGGTTGTGGGTCCAGCCATGCTGCTCCCCTTCACCCTCTCTGTGCTCGTCTCCAGTTTGCAGGCGACAGCAGTGACATGGAGACCTTCTCCCTGGAGGACCTGGCTGAGCCACCACTGATGCTCAGGGGACCACCTCAGTCCCCAGGGCCCCGGGGAGCTGGGCTGCAAGGGGACAGACCCATGGTGGTGACAGGGAAGTGATAGTCCTCTGCCAGCAGCCACTGGATGGTGCCACAAGACCAGAAATGGGCAGCAGCCGGTCTGCAGCCTCCCCAGGGCTGCTCCTGGGCTCTGGGGACCCCCCCTTTTGGGAAGACCCCAATACTGGGGCTCTCCCAGACAGCACAGGGGTGTTGGGTCCTCCCGGGCCAGCCGCTGGGGTTTGCACCAAGGAGGAGAAATGCTGCGGGGTCTGAAAAGGAGTGATTGCTGATCTCCCTTCATCATGCACATGAGCAATAACACAGTGTCAGAAGGTCCCATCAGCTTTTGGATGCCCAGCAGCTCTCCCTGGGCTTTGCATCCCACAGGCTGGGGCCAGCTCTCTACACCGGCCACAGCCTGGCACTTGTGTGTGGCTTTTTCATTCTTTAAGCAATCCAGAAAACAATCAGGGAGGGGAGAAAGCAGCTTTCCTTCTTGTTGTGTCTCTCTTTGCCAGTGCTCCCAAGGATGATTGAAAATGTCTTGTTTTCTGCTCTAGGAGAAACCTGGCTTGAATCCACTCGGGCAGAGTAACAAGCCACAGTTGCTCTCTCCTTCCTCCTTTTCTTCTTGAAGTGGTGGAACCTCCAACCCAAAGGATGATTTTTTTTTTTTTTTCACTGTAAACATGACCACATAAGCCTGCCTCCACTGGTAATGCTCATCTGTGTAAATTAAGTTAATTTTCCTAATTCTCTCTGTATTTTGTACATTTGTGGCAGTGCATTTATGATCTTGATCCCTTAAAAGTATGAAATTTTGGAAAATACAACAGGAAAAACTGACACTTCTCAGTTTCTCTTCTCCAACGCACTCCACTGCTGGTTCAGACTTCTACCATTCCATATTTTTAACATTTGCATGTGAGTTTTAATGCTAGGGAGCAGACAGGCCAACCAGGGCTGACCAGAACAGGGTGAATTAATTTAATTTCACTGAACAGCAAAAGTGCTTTCCAGATAACTGTTCACAAACATGCAGAACCCCTCCCTGTATTTTGCAAATCACCATGTCCCCTGGTATGCGCACGTTCATCTGTGTGCTTATACCCACCCCTATGGCGTGGCTCTGTAGCTGCCTACCTTGAAAAGGATTTTTTCCATTTTAATCATTCAAGTTTAAGAACTGTACCTGGCTTGTGTTACTCATTGCTTACAGTGCTATGGCCAGATGTGTTACTTCGTGCTTAATTTTTACAGCTCTTGTTCTTTTTGGTGAGTGTCAATCATAACAAACACTGCTTTTAACAAATTAAATAAACGAGGGGTGTTTTCACCCCTTTCAGAGGACTAGTATTCATAACTGGGAAAAAGAAATGAGCTTTTTACGTCTAAAAAATTACAGGTGGAGGTTGCAAGGAGCATTTGCTCCTGGGAGAGGGGTGAGAGGAAACCCCTGCCCATGCAGCAGCCCTGGGCTGGGCTCTGGTGCTGGCACAGTCAAAAACCAGTGGGGAAATAACTTTCTGCCCCAAAGAGCGAACAGGTAGGAAAAGGACAGAAAGCAGAAACTGTTTCGCCTTGACTACGTGACAAGCTCAGTGCCAAGGCAGGCGCCCTGCCCAGTACTAAGATCTGAATCACACCCATTCCACCGGCTGCTGACCAGACCCTGCCAGCCCCAGGTCTGGCTGCTCTTGCTGCTCCTGCACGTATTCACCTGCCAACAGGTGCAGGAATCACTCTTACATTTGTTTTACTAGCAATTTTCATGCCTGAGGTGCTTTTGAGCCATTGCAGTGAGCTTCATGCACTCAACACCAAGTCCAGATGATGCCAGAAATGTGGGGGAAAAAACTTCCCCTAAGTTTGGGAAACTCCAAAAATAGCTGACAGCCTTGTGCTAAGAGAAGGGTGACACTCATACAGTGACAAATACATAAATACAGATACAGACAAAGCAGGTTTATTTCGGACTGGACATTTTGAGCATGTTCCACGGAAAGTTGATCTCTGCATGCTGCAAGCTGCAGTGAGCCACATGGCAGAGGATGCACAGTGGGCATGGAAAAGCCATGAAGCTTCACCCTGGATTATCACAGGTGATGGGCTCTGGCTGGAGAGAAGAGAAGAGAAGAGAAGAGAAGAGAAGAGAAGAGAAGGGAAGAGAGAAGAGAAGCAACTCCAACAATATCAGCTCCATCAGTGTGTCTTGTCCAGAAAAGATATTTAGTAATTTATTTCTCCCTGTTGTTTATGGACTCCTTCCCCAAATAAAGCAACTGCTTGTGTACCACTTTTTAGAGTACTATCCTTTTCTTGATGACACCAAATTGGGCCACATCATTGCTGGGTACTTGGCATGAGTCTTGTGCCCACTGTCGTGCTGCATGATGCCGAACAAGCGGAGAGCAGCAGGGAAGGTCCCCAAGCAGGCAGATCACTGCAGCCAGGGGAATGCAAAACAAAGCAAAACAAAACAAAGCCAGCAGAAAGCACACAATGGAAAAGAAAGTCAGAAGTGCAAATGGGGACTTTTGCTCACAGCCAAGGTTAAATAAGCAGACAGGTGTCCTGATATTTCCTTCGTGCAAAGATTTCTTTGTGACTGCATTAAGGGAACAAATTCAGCTTCTCCCAGAGGACAACAACAATGGAACAAGAGCTGCCTCCAAAATTCATTTCCCTCACCCTGTGAAGATGCGATGCTGCAACGCCACGAGATGATGCAACTTTGGTTAGCAGCAAAAGCTGTGGGAAGGCTGCTGCAGGCAGGTGGCCCATGCAAACCACAGGCATCCTGCCCTCATGCTGCCAGCACTTCTCAGAGCCTGACACTGCATTCCCTCCTTCTCAAACCTTTGCACCTGCTCCTCGGGTCAAATCCTGCCCACCGGCACGCTGTGGCTGTGCACTGCCAGCCTGCTGCTTGCTAGTGGGTGGTGGAGCAGGCTCGGTCCATGGGCTGGAGCACACATGCCTGTCTGTGCTGCTTAACACCCAGAGGCTTCTCCTAAAAAGCTAAAAAAAAAAAAACCCAACCAAAGCCCTGAAGTTTTGTTAAATGATGGAAGATGCAACCCTAGCATCATGACATGATTTGGAGAGCAGGGCCTGTCCAGTACCCGTGCTTCTTCCTGGGCATGGTTCTACCTTTCCTCCAGTGTAACCATCCCAATCCTCACCCCTCTGTCCTGACCTGCGTCCCCCAGCCGGGCATGTAACCCCATTCCTCCCATACCCAAACTGCTCCCCTTAAATTCTCACAGGTTTTTATTTTCTTCCTCCTAATTTTTCAGCCTTGTCTTCAGTTCAGCACAGCATGGAGAGTTTTCCATGGTCTTCACCAATTGCTGACACCTCATTTCTCCAACCAGACGTGACTTCTTTGGTTTCATCCTCTCTGGAGTCTCTGGGAACAGTAAACCAACATCCGAGCCAGCAATATAAAGAACTAGCCAATTTAATGAAAGAGAAACCATGCAAATTAGGGTTTCTCTCTGAAAAAAGGGACATTTGTACCGCCATGACAAATTGAAGGGTTGGTTTTAAAAACACTATCCCAGCTGATGGCTGCACAACCAGCTTCCAACTTGCAGGTACTGTAACAGAGCCATACCATTTAGGACATCCCTGGGGCATAGGCATGACCCCCTTCCCATGGGGACAAAGCAGCACAGCTACACTGAAATCATTGGTCAGGCCCTTGCTGAGTTGAATGCTGTTGGAGTCTCGTGTGCTTCAAAATAATATGTTTTGTTTTTCTCAATGACATTTGTTGTCTTTGTGGGGCTCCAGTTATTGGTAATACTTTTCTAAAGCATGAATATGCGTGGGACAATTAGTATATACTCAAACCACAGCACTAACAATCTCTGAATGCAGCGCATCTCTCCCAAATAATACCAAGCTGAAAAAAAAAAGGAAAAGAAAAATCCTATCAAATTTATTCAGCTGGAATATCTCACCCAGAGAGCTATTCTCCCATAATATTTGGGGCAAGCACAGTGTCATAAATCTTAGTGCTATTAATCCGTAGACTCATTCATCTCTGTTCAGCTATATAAAAGCAATAACCTTGTCACTATAGGAAGGAAGATTGGGCTTTTAATTGCATATAGATTTCAGGAGAGTTCTTATCTCATAGTCCAATTTGTAGCTTCAGATATGCGTCTTTGCTTCCCTTGGTCAAAGTCCATGCAAATCTGCCGTGCTCTCACATACTTATAAATGTTGCAGAAGCTCAGAAAGAACCTATATAGAGCTCTTCTGGCAGATAATACACACAGCCTTTTCAGCATTTGCTTTATTAGACAAGCCTACATTTAATTAGCTCCTCTGAAACAGGATATGCATTTTTTCAGAGGACGATCAAATTTATGGAAACAAAACCATTTCTAAGTGTGGGCACACGTACCCACACACATCCCCAATCACGATTTCCCTGACTTATCTCCCTTGGATCTGCAAGTGCTACCAAATGCATCCTTTGCCCTGCAGTTTATTGTCAATAAAGGCAAAATAATTGGGTGGTGGTGGTGGTGGTGGTGGTGGTGTGTGCGTGTGTCTTCCCTCCCTCACCAGTAACAATGGCAGGAGGAAACGCTGGATTTATTCATGGGGCCAAGAGTTCTGCAGTATCTGGGTTCTGATTATTTCTAGGCTTTACTCACCCAAAGATTTCTAGAGGTACAAACCTCCTTGTTGCTGTGCAATTGGTCAAACCAGCAAGCCCAGTTCAGCCCAGCAAATATTTAACTGCTCCTCCCAGACTGCAGCAAGGCAGGATGGTCATGGCTTTGCTCTGCATGCCTCGGTACGGCCCCGTACCCTCTGTGAGTTTCTGCCTGCAGGGTGACTGGGTGAGAGCAGCATGTTGCTCCTTCCAGCATCTCAGTTATGCATGTGGTGCTGAGTTTCAGAGCCTAAATTCACACCCTTTGGGGTAAAGTGCCTCCCTGCAGTGCTGGGGGACCCAGGAAGAGCGTGGGGTGCAGAGGCTGTGTTTTGGGTGGGTGGCCCCAGGGTGCTCCTCGGGCAGCATATGGACCGCGTGTTCCCCTTCTCCATGCAGCGGGCTGTGGACGTGGCACAGGGGTTTGTGTCCTTTGCATGTGGGCATTGGGGCATAGCAGCACTGGGACACAATGAGCTGCCACTAAGACAACATTGGGTCATCCTGGGGGGGGCTTTTGAATCTCACTTTTTTCTCAAAGTCCAAGAAATAATTAGGGTAGCCTCATTTTTTTCGGCCTGCGGGGCTGCAGAGGAAAGCCTGGAAATGGGAACTTTGTTCTCAGTAAAGACCCAGAGCTTTCCCTAAGCAGGTGATTTCAGCTGCAGGACTTTCAGGAGACAGATCAGTTCAGCTGAAAAGGGGATATTTGGGTCCGTCTCCCAAGACAGGGAAACACCAAGTGCTTTCTGCAGCAGGAACCACAGCTCCCTGATGCACAGTGCTCACAGCGGTGCCCACCACAAGACAAGGTCCATTATGGCCAGAAACAGAGGGGAGCAGCTGTAATATTAGGTGTTGTTACACCCCAAACAGGCTCATAAATAAATGGTTCTCTGCTTCAGAATTTGATTTTTTTCAGTAAAGTTCTCTGCATTAGGATTTTTCATACCGCAAGTTTTTGGCCGAGGTAAGGAAATGAAAACTGATGTTGGAAGATTAGAAATCTACACACTTGCACACATCAAAGTGAAACTGAGACATAGCCAGATTGGTGAGTTTGTCAAAGTATTTGTGTTGTATAAAAATAAAATGTAACTTTCAAAGGTGCTTCCTTGTGATTTTAACGTGTGCACCTTTTTTTGTTATAATGCAGTTGGAAACTTGTATTTCAAATATTTCTGCATGTCTTTCTGTATTTTTCATTATCCTGTGTACCTTTACCTAACCACCACTTACGCGCTTCCTATCTAAATTAAACATTCCTGGGCTTTTCAGCCCCTTTCCAGTGGAGGCTGACAGAAGTGAGAGCATACCAGCAATTTTTCTGCCCTCCTAAGAACAATGAAGTATTTAGAAGTGTTTAATTGCTACCTTGAAAGTCAGGCAGATGCTGGCCTGACCAAAGTTGCCTCAAAGCCAAAAAGAGCCATGCACTTGCCGAACTCTACTCCTCAGCAAGCCCAGGGTGCCAGCAAGAACCTCTGATTTCATTGCATCAGTGAGTTGGAGTCCCCTGATGCTCATTCGTCTGCTTTTCTGATATTTTGTCTCAGCATATAACTAACTATGTCTTACAAAGGAGAAAAAAAAAAGCTTCATCTTTTATTTTTTCCCTCAACCACACATATTTTTCCATACTGCTCCCAAGAACCTGCAGAACCCAAAGCCGGGGTGAGTTTAGCTGAGCAGGAAAGTTGGTAGCTGCTGTTCGTGACAAGGAAAGAACAAGTGAAAACAGTGATTTTGGTCTTAAAGACTTTTTCTTTTTTAATGTTGATGTAAAAAAACCCTAACCAACAAAACAAACAAACAAAAAACTAAATCCAGCATGCAAAAAAAGGCAGAAAAGCTAAGTCTGTACTGAGATGGAGACAAAACCATTGTAAAGAATATTGACATTTTTAAAAAATGACAGGATTTACCTCTGCGAAACTGAATTGTTCTCCTTTAAAAACAGATCCTTAAAACAAGTCCTTCACTAGTACGAAAGGGAGTCAGCACTGACATCCGGCAGAGGTAGTGATTTATCCCAGGTGGCAGCAGGGGCCAATGGCCAGCCTGAGATGGGACCAAGAGCTTCTGTTGGATGGAAGCTCTTCCCACCTCTCTGCATGGTGGTCATCTCCTCCAACCATCAGCCCCTGGAGCCGTACCCTGCCAGGCGTTTCCCCTCCTCCTCTCGCTGACCTGCCTGAAGTGCAACCTCTTCCACATCTCCTGGACCTGTGCTGGAGATGTGTCTCCTGTGGTGGTGGAGAGCTGGTGGTTGTGGAGAGCTGATGCTTATGGAGAGGTGATGGTTGTAGGGAGCTGGTGAGTGCAGTGTGTGCTCACTGGGAACGCGACTGTTCAGTGAAACAGCCTGCCCCCCCATTCATGCAAGCCACCAGAGATGCCAGCTAGACTGGTAGCTTGACCTACCAAAGGTCCAGCTCTGGAGAAATGTTCAGCTCTACCTCTGGTGCCTCCAGGACATGAAACCACTCAAGGGAATATCAGTACTTCAATACAATTTTGCCAGTTCTCTGCAGAGAACTTGTAATCATTGCAAGTGGGGCTAAAACCTATTGCAGATATCTATCAAAAATGCTACTTTGCAGGTTTTGGACCCCTTTTTTCTCTCTAACTTGTCCCTCAGTACCATTTGCTCTGCTCATAGGCACTTCCCAGAACTTCACTAGGATGTGCTCTGGAGCCGGGTGGAAGGACCTGCTAATGGCACGCAGCTCTCCCCTCCCATGTAAGTTTTTGTGTGTCTTCCTCTGACCCCTTCAAATAAGCTTCCTCTCTGATGGATTGGCTAAAAGAGGCAACGTCCCACTAAGGAGTTAATCTTCACATCATTGGGGGAAAAATTAACACAAGGAAGTCCTGATGTCAGTATGGAGTTACACATCTAATGCTCCCTGGGATTTCTGCTCCAAATGTAACTCTAATTAATTCTAAATGAGAAATTCTTCTGGCTTCATTAAAGATGACATCTGTGGGAACACCGGTCACACACAGAGGTTTTCAGCTATTACAGCAAATATCTAGCATAGGAATAACAATGGATTATACATATTCCCTGGAGAGATCAGAAGAAATAAATACACTTTGGTATCACAGGTTATAGCAAATGTCTAAGTAACATAAATCAGATTAAATATCACAGCAGATCAGCATTGTAGTACAACCAGCAAAGCAAAGGTGTGTCTGAGTAGAAACAGTCACCAGGGAGGAAAATGCCATGACTATGGGGTCTGTATGCAGTGGCCACAGCCAAAGGGACACAACAGAATTTACTTAAAATACACAGCAAAATAATATAGGAGACTACTAGATTATAATTTTTGCTTTTCAATCTGCTAAAAAAAATTATTGGGTGGCAAAACCAGAGCAAAGATACACTATCATTTCAGCAAAACACTGTTTTTTCTGGTGAACAGAGGACACCAAAGTCACAGGATACTGTTCACCTCTCCAAACTCTGAGAAAGTAGGGGATGACATTGCCTAATTGCATGAAAGCCTGCTCAAAGGGAAGACAGCAATGAGGTAGCATTGCTTTTAGATCTGGGCTATTATTCAATGGGAATTTTAATGTATTAGAAGAATTAGAAAAGGGCACAAGGCACAATCCTGATCCTGGATATGAGAGTTTATATGTAAAATATGAGCAAACCGTGCTACTCCGAGAGCATAAAAAGGGATCACTTTTGTTACAGACCTCCTTATGGTTAGGCATACTAACAAGCAGTCAAATAAAACTGGTGTTCATAACAAGCTAGAATACAACCTCAGAGTAGGGAAACATGATAGAAAACACAATCATATTTACAGACTGCTTTGTTTGCCTATACTTTTTGCTTTTGAAGTTAAAAATATTTTATAAAAGATAGTACAACTCAAGCCTAGAAAGTCTGCTAGACATAGTCATATTTTGAAGGGTATGAGCGTCTTCCATCCTCACTTCGAGCAGCTTCTTCATATCCTGCATTCTTCCTAGTCTTTGTTTCAGGTTCGTACCCTGAACCAACCTTATAGGGCCCCGTTCTGTAGGAGATATTCCGTCCCGATGCATTGTAAGACACCGCTTTGTAACTGAAAGAGACACAAAAGATGGCATCAGCCACTGGAGGGTCTGTGACTACGCAATGTTGCACCCTGTGCTCCTGTTTGCTGTTGGATTTTCGGAAACTTCGTACTGTGTCATCACTTGGAGCCAATCAATAAGCTCAGACCCAATTATCCATGGACAGACTGCAAGTCTCATTCATGTTTTTTCATAAACTTATAGTTTCTTACCCATGAGTAAATCCTTGGTTCAGTGAAGGACCCACCTAAAATAACCAGCTACATAGGCGTACAAAGCCCTACCTGATGTAAATCATAGCTCAGCTGATGCAGTCTACACCTGCTGATGATCTGCTATGAAATTTGCAATCAAAGCTGCAATGAATGGGCCTGACTTAGCCAGCACATTGCAAATTTTAGATTTTAAGGCTGATCTCTCCTGCCCTCTCTATTTGTTTTCAAGTCACGTAGTCAGGGAAGGGAAATGGTCACTTTTGACCCATGATACAGGGCAAACAGATGTATCATCATGATAACTCTTGCAACAGGGTTATTATGCATAGGCATATCCTGTGGTGTGCTGTCCGTATGCTATCCTGACACCCAAGGTTTCATGCAATACCTTCCTGTGTCTACCACAGATATGCTTACCGGGATTCTTCTGGAATCAGCCCTCTGCAAGCAAGGCACATCATGATGCCTCCTACAAGGGCCAGGCCACCTGCCACCCAGCCAACAAAGAGGGCTGAGCCAAAGGTGTACCTACAAAACACAGAAACATGGCTGGTTAGTGCTGTGACAGTGGTCCAGCCTGCTGCTTCTGAAACACACTGAACATTGTCATTCTCCTTCTGGCTTTGCAGAAGTTCCCATGAGCGCTACCTGCAGGCTCACTACCTCCTTCTTGAGCTGCGTGAGCAGAGACATCCCAGCCAATTTGCTTGGACAAGTTATCTCCAGTGCAGATAAGAAAGAGACTCAATAAATCTTCCAAGTCCTGGGACCAGACTCATATGCACCCAGAGTTTGCCTTTCCTTCAGCTGCAGCACACCCTAGCCCTGAAGGAGATCTGCACTGTGGAGCACCCTGAGCCAGTTGACCACGTACCTGTTCTGGACGTTCTGCATTCCCTGGTACATGTTGGCTGTGGACATCCAGAAGTTTGTGACCAGCATGTTGGCAAACACAGACACTCCAGTGATGGCACACAGGCCTGAGATCAGACAGAAGGACAGACTGAGACCCACATAGTACAAGCAGTCACCTTTGGCTTTGGGGAAGCACCTTAAAGCTCTGGAAAGGTGGGTGAGATACGCCTTTGTGTCCTGGCAAGTTCCTTGAGCAGCAGTGGGGAACCACACATTTACAATCCAGCAGCAAGAATACAATGTCACACTACAAAATCCCAAGTCATACCAGCAGGGATCTTTCTACTGATGTGTTTTCTCACAGAAAATGAGTTTAACAAACAGATCATTTTAGCTGCTGAAAATATCTAGTAGCTCACTTTTAAAGATTTGTTTTACAGTGAAAAACATGGGCAAAAGGTTCCCTATCAGAAATTATTTTTTTGAATGGGAAAACACACTGTCTGTCACGTGGAAGAGGAGATACATTTTGGTTCACAACCTGTTCATCACCAGGTAGTGATGCCTGCCTGACTCTGCTGGCAGCCCAGAAGACCAGACTCAAGAGGCAGAAACTTCTTCCATTCATCTGCACAGGTGATCACTGTGATGCTCAGCTGTGATGAGCCTGGCAGCAATGGCACTATCATTTGAGATTTCACTATTGCTCTTAGGAGAGTCATTCATGCTAATGAAGGTCATCATTGTACTGTACGCTACTGTGGAAGGAGGTACAAAACACAGCTAAAGGTCATGTCTGTGTTTGTTGCCAAAAAATATGGACTCCAGCTTTTCTGGGCATCCCAAGTCCTATTTACCCTCACTACACCCACCAAGACCTCTGGGTCTTCCCTGAAACCCAATTACTCACAGCACTGGGGATGGTCTGAGCAATCAGTGGTGCTTCTGCCTCAGGTCCCCATATAGCCTTCACTATCACGGTACTTCAGCGTTACAGTCTTTAACACTTCTGTCCTGAGAGCAGCCCTTATTTTAGGAAGAAACACTACCTCCATCTTGCAGAGGTGTGACCAAGGGCCAGGTCCACCATGGCACATGGGTACCCAACTCCTTAGCTAGCTGAGACTAGGGACCTTGTTTTGAAATGAGTGAACTCAACCAAGGGATGTCCCATCCCAAGAGTCAGTCATGTCATCATTTTAGACACCCTTTCTTCAGGAATCCATGAGTGAGCTTTTCTAATATCTGCATTGGTCAAATTCTCAACCCACTGACTCAAATGCATAAAATGATAGATTTTAAATGTAAAATTAAAGCTGTGTGGCAGAAGGTGGTTTCCTCTTTCCACCTTGTACTTATTGTACATCTTTAAGTTGTGTTGTATGTCTCATATCCCAACAAAAGTTAAGTGCTGTTCAACTATAAGGATTTTAAATAGGGACATTCTCCTTCCCTTCATTAAGATATGGATTTGATTTGATTATTCATCTCAAAAAAATTGTGGGAAAACCTGTAAGTGATGTATTAAGCGTTTGCAATTTTGAGGTAGCTGGGCAACACTAGGCATTCCTGCAGCCTTCCTGATAACGCAAGGTACTTAAAAATTACGAGCTAGGCTACCATAACCCTGAGAGTCTTAATAAAATTATTATGTATAAAGCCTGAGACTCTTCAAAAAACTATTACACATAAATAAAGGATATAATAGTACATAACAACAGTATAGATATAACAAATTAAGATATATATTTTCTTTTTTATCTGTGGGCTGTTTTTTCAGCCTTCCATGTTCTGTCCCATACAAACATCTGGTTTTCTTTTACTAAGCAGAGGTAGAAATCACTTTACCACAGTGTCCTGGTTTCAGCTGGGATAGAGTTAACTGTCTTCCTAGTAGCTGGTACAGTGCTATGTTTTGAGTTCAGTATGTGAAGAATGTTGATAACACTGATGTTTTCAGTTGTTGCTCAGCAGTGTTTAGACTATAGTCAAGGATTTTTCAGCTTCTCATGCCCAGCCAGGGCACCTGACCCAAACTGGCCAACAGGGTATTCCATACCATGGGACGTCCCATCTAGTTTAGGAACTGGGAAGGGGGGGCAGGGATTCGCCGCTCGGGGACTAGCTGGGTGTCGGTCGGCGGGTGGTGAGCAATTGCCCTGCGCATCATTTGTACATTCCAATCCTTTTATTACTACTGTTGTCATTTTATTAGTGTTATCATTATCATTATTAGTTTCTTCTTTTCTGTTCTATTAAACCGTTCTTATCTCAACCGAAGAGTTTTACTTCTTTTCCTGATTTTCTCCCCCATCCCACTGGATGGGGGGGGAGTGAGTGAGCGGCCGCGTGGTGCTTAGTTGCTGGCTGGGGTTAAACCACGACACACAGGAGGCCAGGCTGGAAGATAAATGCCAATAACTTCATGCAAGCATCAATGCTTTGGGTTGCTCCAGAGCATCTGCTACCTGTAACCAGAATTGCATGAAGACTTGCCCAGTCCTCAATTTCAGGCAATTGCAATGCCTTGCACATGAAGGACACGACACCACCCACTTACCAGCAACAATAAACATGATGCCGGAGGTCAGAGTCATGTTGGCTTTTGCAGAATCCTCCATGTTGCCGATACGGATGCATTTCAGAGCGAAAATGCACACAAGGAGGCCAAGGATGCCCAGGACGATACCCACAATCATGAGGGCCCTCACAGCCTGGAACATTGCTGCAAAACAAATTGAAAAGAGCCACGCTGAGTGACTGAAGTGAGATTCGTTAGAGCCTGGGAGTTTTTTGAAGACTGTTTCTGTCTAAAAATAAAAGTATTAAAGAAGAAAACCTTGGACAATAGGCACCAGATCTACTCTCAGCGTTATCTGGGGCACCTCTGGAAATGTGGCTGTCTCAGCTTCCCAAAGAGTTTGATGGCTTAGACATAATTTTTTGTAAATGTTCATTGGCACCAGTCATGATCTATTCAGCTGAATTCATGGAGAGGAGTTTGTGTACAGGAGGGATAAGCATGAACTGTTTCATAACCAAATTAATTGAGAAAGCTTTTTTTTTCTCCCCAAGCAGCGATGAAAGCAGACAGCTCCACCCAGCTATCTGTGGTATTTCCAGCTACTGTGTGAATCAACATGGAGGCTTGTGTGTTCCTGCTTTACAGTAAGAGAAGAGGAAAATCACCTTGACAAACATTACACATACACCAAGAGAGAGCAACAAAGCTTCAGCAATGACCTCCCCCAGCATATCCTTTCCATGGTTATTTGTAATGTCAGACCTGTATAAATCTGTCCATGTTCATTAATACAACACACAAATACCCTAGGCCTGAATTTGTTTAGCAGCTTGCCATCAAGGTGGGAATGCTTGGTTGGAGGCAGGCTGTGATGCTGGTGGGTCATGCCTGTGGGAGCCGAGTGCTACTGTCAATCAGATGAAGGTAGCAAAAACCCCCCAGGCTCCTCTTGGCTGGTATAGAAAAGTAGAGGGAAAAGCAAAGGGAAACTTGCACCTTTTAAAATGGAGAAGTGAAGGGCAAAGGCCATGCATTTGAATACCAAGGCGATTTTCTAATAAGGTAGCACATATCCCATCTTGCGTGAAGTTCAGTGCTGGCCCCAGACACTCCTCCTTCCCATCTGTGCACATGTCCCTGGCAGAGACAGGAAGGTGGCAGCACTGGCAGAGCACTGAGAGGGGGTGGTCAAAAGTATTTCAAGGGTTGTTGTGATTTGGCTGGGACATTTTGCAGCCTCTTCTTGCTCTCCCATGAGCTCCTGCAGCCCTGGGTTTGGCTTTGATGCTCCCCACACATGAATGTCCCTCTTCAAGGGAAGATGATGGGGGCTCATAATGGACAGAGAAGGGCAGGCAACATATCCTACAGCCCCAGGGACTTCACTCAACCTGCCTGTCACCTCTTTTGCTGTGCTGACCAGGATGGCCATAGTGCACAAGGGTCCCATATGGCCCAACTATGAGCAGGAGGCACTGATGCTGGAGAGCAGGGAGAAGACCCTGCTGGCCTTGCACAGGTTGGGAGAAGGATTTATAAACCCTCCCCAGGAAGGCAAGGGTGGGTGCTGTGGTGCCCGTGGGGGTCTCCTTGGTGCTAGCACCATGACACACAAGGAAGCCAGTGGTCTACCATCCCACAGGCTGGAAATACACCACCTTCTCCCATCTGGCAGTCCCACTGGGGCTGCTGCTCTTATGACTCAATTTGCCCTTATCAGCTGATAACAAATGCTAACGAGCCTGGGATTTTCAATCTCCCATTCATCAGGCCCCAGGTGTGAGCTCATTAGTTATTATTCATCAGAGAACAAGAAGCTGGCAAATAAGCCTTATCAGCCCTCAAAGGTTGTTCACGCAGCACCTGATGCAAAGCAGAAAGCTGGAAAGAGAAGAACATCACAATACTTATTTGTCTTTACAGTCACTTAAGCTTCTTTGCAACTGCTTTTGTTTCAGGGCAGGCAGGAGAAGCTGATACTCCAGGGCAGTGTAAGACACTACAGATCATGATGGAAGGTCCTCGTCCCCAAGACAGTCCTTCATTCCTGAGATGCTTGCTACGGACCTTATGGCTCCTAGGTGCCATCACTGCGGTTGTCTCAACCCTTCAAGAAGTGACCCTAAGCTAAGACCTCACAGAGATATTGTGGATTCCCATAAGAGATGTTCCCAGTGCCTTGGGTGCCCGTGGCAGGACACAACAGGCAGGCCAAGCCGAGCAGCTCCTGCGCCATTGCAGTTCTGCTGGAGCACTGAAGTCCAAGTGTGGTTGAAAAGGAGCAATCTGCAGCTGTTGGAAAGGAGAGAGGAACACAGCAGGGCACAAGAGAAAAAATGCAAAATAGCCATCAGCCGTGATTCCTTCCTCTGTGAAGGTGACTTATGCACCATCTCCACAAAGGGACAGAAAGGAGAAGAAAGTGCTCCCCGGCCTGCTGTGGCACGAAGGCCTCTTCACTTGTCTCATGGGACTGAAAGCGAGAGCTACTTGGAAAGAGAGCACTGCAGTTTCAAGTGAATTTTGGCATCCATCAGAAGTCCTCTGAATAGAGCTGCTTTCCAAAGGTGAATGACTTCCCCTAGAAAGAAGGAGTGGAAGGGCTTAGACAAACAAAATAGGAGACTAAGGAAAAAAATTTGTATGGGGAGCACTAGTTAGCAAACAGCCCTATAGTTAAAGTCAAGCACAGAAACTACCTGCCATTTTGCACACACATTTTGCAGGAGGTATGATAACTTTGCTTCATACCTGCACACATATGATTGCTCATTTTGCACACATCATTTCCATACGAAGGGATGGTGTGCACAGAAAATAGTAAAAATGCAAGCCTATTCGCCAAAATAAATGTCAGTGATCTGAAACCACAGTTTGCATCACTGGGTTCTTCAGATGTAAGTGAAACTGGAGAGTTGTCTTTCCCCCCAGTGTTGCTGTGAGTAGTGAGAGGTGAGTGAAGTAAAACAACTTCAAGTCATCTAAACTAACATCACGTGTATTTCTGTTACTCATACAAAATACAAAGGTGGAAATCTAACTCTATAACTAGTTATGATTAATGGAATATAGAAAGTTTAGGGAAAAAATGAGTTCTTTCAGTTAACCAAATTCAAGCAGGGACATTCCTTCTTTATGTTTTAGGGTACTCATCAACTAAACAGACACATAAAGAGAACAAACCTGACAGAATATCTCTAAGACACAACAGAAAATGCCTGTGACTGCTTTGCATATTTCCTTATTGCTGTATTACATAAAAAGTAAAATCTTGATTATGACAAATTGGCATCAAAATGATTGTTACCGTTGCTTCATTGCTCTCTTAAAACACAATCACCTACACACAGCATTATAAGGATATGTACATATTTTGAACAATATTTGTATATATAGTTTAATAAATCTATTTTTTATTCTTTAAAACAAATGGTCCCATAGGAAAAGTGACTCCAAACATCAGTTTTGCTCTTCCAAATGAAAAGAAAGTCACCTAACAATCCTGAAGCTAGGTACACAGAAACACATTTATTCCATGACACCCCCTGGGACGGTCACGGGCTTTTCTCAAAAAGCAAACACTGCAGCCAACACACTGGTCTTCAGCAAAGCACTCCCTCCTGCCTCACGGTAGAGAAGCAAGGCTGGCATCCCTGAGGATACAGGGCTGAGAGCCCACATCATGCTCTTTTCTACACCAGTCAACAGTTGCAAAAGACACTAGTGCTTGCTTGTACCTAATTGCAGTTGTGCACCAAGAGTGAAAAACACTCTTGGGGCTGTATTTATTGCTACCTGGCAGGGCACAGGCATGAGAGGTCACAGGGAAGCATGTTGAGCCAGGCTGGCTGCTCCCCACCCATGGGCTCAGCTAGCTCTGGAGCACTGAAATACTCTTTTTGTAAAGTAAGCGAGCAAATGAGAAAGTAATACCCCTCTGCAATCTACCTCTGTAACCACTAAAACTCCCCACGTAACGTGAAGTGACCAAGTGCACCTTTCCCCATCTTGCCCTTCCTACATGCACTGCTCACAGACAGATTTCTTCAGTTCCTTTTTGCTCTTTGGGAAAAAAAAAAAAATCAATTGTTTTCTGTAGAAACCATTATTCTGATAACAATGCAAAATTACATGCAGCTGTTTTCCTTGTATTTCAATTCAAAGGGACATAATATCTGTGGGGTTAAACATACTCACTCTCCTCACATCAGCGGAGCTGTGCTGATTTATGCCAGCAATGGGGCTGAACCCATGATGCTCATCCAGAGATCACCTACACATGCTCCAAGTTGTAACCTCCACCGAGTAAAGGTATTATTTTGGTAACAAAATATGCACATATTTTTATGCTCATACACTGAGTAGCCTGGAAGTTTTAATCCTCGCAAAGTGCTTTAAGGTATCTGCTCCTGCTTTTGGATGAAAACTGTGTGGAGCTACAGGAGAGCTCCTGGGTTAAACCTGGTGCATCTTTTGCCCCTACCTGGCAGCCCAAGAATGGTGAAATACGGCCGGCATTCTGTAAAGCCAGAGCTCTGCCGCACGCAGCTCCTCCACAGTCCCTGATATTGGAAGACAGCCGTGACCGGGTTGTCATACAAGTCCTGCGTGCTCCACATATCCATGGCAGTGGACACGATGCACCCCGCAACACCCAGCGACGAAACAATGAACGCCATCACCTGGCAGATGGTCGTGGACATGATGTCTCCCCTGGACAGAGGAGGTGAGACAGACCTGATGAAGCCGCAGACCTAATGGGAGCACTGAAGTCCTCTTGACTGAGCCACCAGAAATGCAGCAGCTCTTATCAGATGCTTTCCATTGAGCAGTGTGTTTGCTCAAAGTGTTTTTGCAAGATAGTCCAGTTTCACTCTCGCTAGGTAGGTTTGTGCTGGCAGGGCCAGAGATATGATTTTGTCCTTTAGAAGTGCTTGTCCTTCCCCAGCTAAGCAGCCACGCTCCATCGAGTGTTGGGCAACCCACTTGGAACATGCGCCGTCCCCCCACCGAAACCCTTTGCTATCTGGCTTCTCCCGCGTGCTTGGCATGGTGCAGATGTGCTGAGAGGGGTAGAGGGAAGGACCATATTCCCAGGTGAACTCAGCCTCCCCGGCCCTCTGCTTACACAAAGGGGGAGTAGATCTGCCATCAGACCAAGATAGGGACATCTCTACACCCAGGCATGCAGGCATCTGCAC